TCCCACAGGAGGCGGCACGGGGGGCCGGCGGAGCGCGCCCCCCAGGCATGCCGCCCCCCCCCCCCCCCCCCCCCTTTTCTCTCCTATACTATCCCTTTTCTCGCTTCTCCCCTGCCTTCCTTGCGCCAAAAATGTACCCACTTAAAATGCAGTGCTTGCGCGCGCGCCCTGCCGGGCATTGCTGCGGTTGTTGCCGACATGTGCCTCCCTCGCTGTCTCCCCCTTTCCCTTTTCTTCTTTCCCTTTTGACCGCCAGCACGCGCAGACAGCCCTACGACGTGTGGGGGAGGCGGCGCGGTCAGCAGCGGCGCAGGCGAGAGGGGGAAACCGTTCGTCTATATGGGGGCCCTGTGGGTGTGTGGGTGGGCGTGAAAACCACCGGGGGACAGGGGAGGGGGAGGGGCATCTCCGCCGGGGATCATTCCGGAGCAACGCGTGGCCAATAAGGGGAGGACCGGGGAAGAATGCCGCACAAGGACAGGGATCAAAGGGGTTGGGCCCTGCGGGGGGGGGGGGGGGGGAAGGGAAATGCATGTGGGCGTGCGCGCGCCGGATCAAGTGTGGCCAAGTCCGCCGGTGCTCAGGAGGATGGGCTGGCAAGGCTGGAAGAGGCCGCGGCCGCGGCCGGGCTGGTCTTGGCCCCCCCTGAGGGAGCAAACATGGCTGCCGTCTCGGCCGTCTCCGTGGCCGTGTTGAAATGGTTGAGAATCGTGTGGGCAAGTGCCTGACGAGCCTGTATGGCAGGCGGGGCGGGGCGGGGTCAGGAGACGAGCGACAACGGGGAAAGTGGCCGAGGGAGAGAGAGAGAGAGCGAGAGAGAAGAAAGGGAAGGGAGGTCGTACCCGCTCGGCGCTCCGCTGGAAGGAGCTATAGCCAAAGGCCTCCACGCGGCCGGACAGCCCGTAGCCGATGCCGGAGGAAATGTGCGCCTCAGTAGAAACAACGGTCCTGAGAGGGAGCCGGGGTTAGGAAAATGCGGCCGGGTGGGCCCGGCCGGAGAATGCCCCGACCAGAGAAGGGCGAGGTGTGCGTCGGCGTACCAGTTGGGATTTTCCGGGTGAACGGAGAATGTCTGCCGCTCCTCGACATTCATCAGGGTCTTGTGTGTGAGGTTGTGTGTGATGGTGGTCATGGTCTGTGGTGCGCAGTGAATGGGGCACCAAAGGCGCCGAGGAGGGGAATGCAGGGACCACGGGGTCAGCCAGGGCGGGAGGGGGGGGGGTCAGTGGAAAGGCCGGGGAGAAAAGAGCGACAAACGAGGGGGCGACGCACGCGCTGGTTGCGGTCCACTTGGCTGGCCTCCACCACATATGCCTGGGCCTTGGGCATGAAGGAGCGCCCCCAGGCGGGGATCTTGCCATTCTTCAAAGCCAGGCGCGTGGTGGAAAGGATGCCACGCTGGCCATCGTACACACGCCGGAGGATGTCATACGCTGCGGGGGGGGGGGGGGAGTGAGGCATGCGCGCGCGCGCGCGCACCCACACACACACACACAGGCAACGAGCAAAGACGGCCCGAGGTTAGACAGCGCTGCAGCGGTGGAGGAGAGCGGCAGGCAGGGAAGAGCGAGGGTGCTTAACGGGAGGGGGGGAAAGGAAAGGAGGCGACCCAATCACGCACCCTGGATGTGGGCCACATGCGGATTGCCCGGGGTGTACTTGTTGAAGAAGGCCAAGGCGACGATGTGCCACGGATGCCTTCAGGAGGAGCAAGAGTCAGGAGAGGGGGGGGGGGGAGAGAGAGCAAGAAAGCAGGGGAAAAGGGCACGGATGTGCATACTCAATGACTGTTTTGATCTCCAGGACGCGAACCATGGCTGGAGAGAGGGGCTGTGATCAGGGGGGAGGCAGGGGGGAGGGGCACAACACAAAGCACCAAGAAGAGAGAGATAGCCGGAGGCAGGGGGGGGGAGGGGGAGTGCGAGGAGGAGGAGACGGCGGAGGGGGGCGGGGAAGAGAGGAGCGCGGGCGGTCGCCGAGGGATGGACGAGCAGCCAGCGGGCGCCTGGCGGCTGGGGCGTTGGCGGCCGAAATGACCTGCTAGCCCGGGCGCCGGCGGCCAGGACAACAAGCGCGAGGCAGATCCCCTCCTCCGGCCTGGGGCAGATCCCCGGGCCCGGCGCACGCCTGAGCGCGCGGGCGCACGCACACACACACACACACACGCACATACACAAGAGACCAGCCCGGGTGGGGAGTCCCGGGCCTCGGTGCCCAGACGGCCGAACAGCGGCCGGGGAGAATGCCCGAATCATATGGCGGTCTGCGCGGCGGGGCCCGGCCACCTGGACCGCTCCCCGGCGCCGGGCGCGCTCCCCGCGAGCCGGAACCAACCGAACACAGCGAGCCGAGCGCCCGGCCCCGGGACGTGACCCGGTCGAAGGGTCCTCCCCAACAGCCGGCGCGCGCGGCGCGTGTGCCACCGGCCCGGTCCCCCACACACGGTGCCCTCCGCCCGCCCTTGATGAGCGATCTGTCCGGCTGTCCTCTCTCCCCCTCCTCGGGCGGGGCCCCGGGGCCGTTCACCCATCGATGGGCCGGCCGAGTGGAGGACCTGCGTCCGCCCCGGCGCGGCCCCGGGCCGAAAGTGTTGACACATCGACAGGCGCCCCCGTGGAGGTGCCCATGCTCTGATCGGGCCTGTGAGGCTGGCTCATGCCTGTGCTCCCCGAGCCCCCCCCCCCCCGCCCAGGCACGGGGCGATTTCACACGCGCCGCCTCCCTCCCCCCCCCCCCCGAAGAAGGGCCCGTCCGAGGGTGGTGTTGAGCGGGGGGCGGAGGCGCACACGAGAGCGCGTCCAGGACACAGGGCGGCGGGCGGCGCAGCGTCAGGGGCGATTTTTCCGAGCCCCGCCCCCCTTGACCCGGGGCAGCCCACGTTCCAGGCCAGTTGCACGGTAACTTACTCTCGGGGGGAATAAGCGAGGGCCAGACGGACCGCGCGACCCCCCCCCCCCCTCCCTCTCGCGCTTGGGCCAGCCCATGGGCGAGGCGCTGCCCCTTCGCCGCGACCGATGCGCGGGAGCGCACCGCGGACGTGCCCCGCCAACAACGCGACTTACCATTCTGGCACGGTCACGCGATGTATGTCACGGGTCGCCATGTGACCACGCCAACGGCCGATTGCGCCCCCACCGAATCGGACCCCGGGCCACGGGCCACGGGCCGGACACACAAGGGAGGGAGAGGGCGGACGATCCGAAACAAATGTTTGTTCTTTCGTATTGTGTCGAGCATGGGAGGGGGGAGGGAGAGAGAGAGAGAGAGAGAGAGGCAGGGAGACCCTTTGGACTTTGAATAAAGGGCAAGGGACGGGAGGGGGGGTGCCGGCGGTCGCGTGCGCCACGCGCGGGCGTGGGCGCGCACGCGCGCAGCAGCACGCCAGCAAGGTGAGCCTCGATTAGGAGGACGCGGGGGTGGCCGCGGCGGCGGTCTTCGAGGCGGCGAGGGCGCGCTGCACGTCGGCCGCCGAGCCACCAGACTGGAGGATCTTCCCCAGGCGAGCGGCCTCATCCAGGGAGGAGGCACTTTCGATGGCGGCAATGAGGGCCTGGCGGTCAGCCTCAGAGAGGGCGGCGCCGGGCCGGGCGGCGGCGCCGGCGGCGGCGCCGGCCGGAGCGGCCTCCGGGGCGCCCTCCTCGGCGGTCTCCTCGGTGTCGGAATCGGAGTCGGCCCCGGTGGCAGCCTCGACGGGAGCACCGTCATGGAGGAATTGCCGGAAGGCCACCGGCAGATCGGCGCTCTGGAAGAAGGCCCGGGCCTCGCGGCGCTCCTGCGGCCCGGCGGAAGGTGGCGGAGGGCGGGGGGGAGGGCGACGGATCGGTGTGCAGGTTAGAGCCCGGCAAGCACAAGGCGCAAAAGGGAGGCGACAAAGGACCCGGGGAAGCCGCGCCGCCCATGGCCAGCGCCTGCCCTGGTGGAATGAAAGGCGGGGGCGCCGGGATGGGCGAGCTTTGCCCGCCGCTTCGGGTGTGTCGGCATGACGCACGGCCATCTTGATGCGCTGGTAGTCAAGGATCTTCACCTGCGGCAGGAGGTAGGCCACCACAAGGCGGTACTTGTCGGCGGAGGCCACATCATTCCCGTCCAGGGAGAGGGACCGGAGCTTGGCGAGGCCGGTCAAGTGGCGGAGCTCGGAAAGATCCTTGATCTGCGCATGGGGACCGAGAGGGGAGGTCAGAGGCGGAGGGGGGGACAGGACAAGCAGGGCACCATGGCGGGGGCACACTGGTGGGAGATGTGGGAAAGGGGGGGGGGGGGGGGGCGCCCGGCCGCGGACGCACGTAGTTGTTTGACAGGTTCAGGGTCTGCAAGCTGGGCAGGTTTTTGCAGATGGACGGGTCGATCTTGCTGATCTGATTAAAAGGCAGGAGGATGGTGTCGAGCCGCTTGAGCAGGGGGATGTTGTCCAGCCGGCGGATGGAGTTGCGCGAGAGATTGATCGTGTCAAACTGGTCCTACGGGCCAGGGGACGGGGCGAGGCCGGGGGTGGGGGCGGCGGCGG